AACCAGGATTACCCCATCCCAGGTGCAAATGAAATGCTCCAAGTGAAAAGCATTTGCTTAAAGATGGTTTTATTATGATTAAAGAGCAAGAGAGTACATCCACAATACCCATTACATTAGGATACATAGAAAACAATCAGAATAGTGACATGCCATATTTGGTCCTGACGATTGAGCCAAAAAGATTGAAAGATAAATACGAATTTTAAGATTCCTATAATGCATCTTTAGAAAGTGAGGAAGAGCCTTGCAGTATCGTGAGAACAAAGAAAAAGCAATTGCCTTGTCAGAGAAGGAACAGTTGGTGACAGTTTAGAGCTTAATCTGGGAGCTTTCAAGTGACTAATTCCAGAGAAGTCGCCACAAAGCTTGGCCATAGACAACACTGGTGTGATGAGAAGGCTGTGTTTTTTTTTCCCATAAAATTTCTGCTGATAAATGGGGTTGTGTTTTTTCAGTGTGATGATCTGTCACTGTTATTGTTAACTTGCACAGGGAATATGTCTGTTCATACTCACGTGTTCTTTGGGTCCAGTTCTCATTCCCTTAACTTTTCATCCATAAGCAAATAGTATTAGTCCGCAGAAAAGAAAGGCAAAGGGCTTTGGATTTCATGGCATAATTTCTCTGACTTTTTTAACTTTTATAAAGCTTTCTAGTTTTAGAAAACACAGGTGAAAGAGAGTATGTGTTTCTTTTTGCCCTTGATACTGCAGTGCTGAGTCTTGCTGTGAGTGACAGAAATTCTTTCAGCTTTCTTATCCTTAAGGGGAAAAGCATCTGCCAAAGAAGAGGATGCTGTTGGATGTGTTGTCCTTGATCAGGAAAAGGAAAGGGTGGTCAGCCCTAAACTCTTCAGAGACACTTGTAGCATCCATCCCAGCTTCTGCTGAGGCTACCACCTCACTGCCTGCTTCATAGATTTCCACAAATGCCTCATGGACAGCTTCAGACATCTTCAAGCTCTCTGCTGAAGAGATGCCAGATAGATTGGCTGATGAACTGAACAGGTCAGTCAGACCCAAGGCCATTAAGACAGATGTGAGGTTATATTTTTCCTCAATCTTCATACGGGGAAGATAGACTTTAATTTTCCTTTCTTCCATGATATTAGAAGTGGTCCACTCCATGAGCTTTTCAAAGGTGATTGTAGTCTCAAGCTGCAAGGAAACAAGCAAATGAGATCTCTGGGATGAGAGCACAACTTCTTTTGTGGCAATGCAGTACCAGTGGTGGTTTGGTTTTTTTTTCTCTTTTAAATCTGACTGCTCTTGCCATGTCATTTTTTCCTCAGTATATACAGATTAGTGTATCTATCTGCTTTCTATTTTTTTTAATGGCCTTATGGCCAATTAATTTTCTTAATGAGATGGCTACTCAGTAAATTCACCTGAAGTTCTCCCCTGTTGATCTTCTTCCTTGGGAAATATATTCCAAAAATCATTCTGTGCTTTTGGTTTCTAAGCCTTATCTACATTTAAGATCAAGTATGTAGCCAAGTGTTAATGGTAACCACTTATCTAATACCTGAACTATCAGTTATTACTGAGGAAATTTAGCTATGTTTAAATATCACTTTATTTTTATAATTTAGATTCTTTGAGTTAGTGTGCAAACATTTCCATGAACCCCTATTTATTACATAATTTTTCCTATCCAGACTATTGACAAGTCCCACTAATGCCTATATATATCCTATGCCTGTATTATGTTCATATCAACAATACTATGTCATATACATTTTATTTTGTGAAATTAATTCAACAGCTACAGTAGCCCTCATATTCAGTTTTGAATTAGTTTAAGTTTTGAAGTTATGAAGGAAGCATGTCGAGTCTTGTCACACCAAATAAAAAGTACAACTAGTAAAGCTAACATGAACTTCTCAGGAAGTTCCTCACTGTGCAGGAATGGAGACATAAAACCTTTGGAGTTCAAGTTGCTGGATTAACAGCTGCTTACCTGAGAAGAATCTGTTCTGCAGTGACCAATATTTAACCCACTAAAGAAGTTCCTTCAGCAATCCATGCTTAGCACTATTGCAGGACCACTGATACAGCTGCATGCTTCTTTGCAACAATCCCATGTTGCCAGTGTTCAGATTTGGGCTGGTGAAGTGTTTCAGGATAACTTACTGTGAAGGGCTTTGCAGCACTTAAATTTCACTGTGTTTATGTTTTTCTGAAACTAAACTCCCAGGGCCATACCTGCTTCAGGCCAGAGACATCATCAGGCAACACAACCAACATGGTCAGCCGCCCACTGGCATATGGAAGTTCCAGGATCTTAATTTTCTCAGAAGCCACCACTGCCACTTTAAATGAACCAATCTGATGCATCATCTGTACGGGTTTGCTTTCTTGCTGCAAAACCAAGTAAGATAATATATTTTTCATAAATGCTATTATTAGAGTATAGAAATGTCTATTTGTGGTTATATCTACTAATTGTCCTTGTTCAGGAAGATTGTATAATAAGTTGTCTATTCATAAATCCTAGAAGATGACACCTTTAAGGTGATGTATGCCCATGTACCTCAGTGATTCTGAAAGGTGTTGCCTGGGTGTCTTCAACTTTAAATGCTTTCTCCCACAGTCCTCTGAAGTAAATGGCATTGACAAGGACCATTTCAGTCTGAGAATCCACAGAGCTCGGCTGAAGGATATTTTTTATCATTCCTTTACGATTGAGGAGGAAAAAGAACGTATGTATGTAACACAACCATCTTACTTGGCAATCACAACATTAAACGAAGGGTATTGAATTTGTGGGGAGGAGGGTGTACAGCAGGGACACTGTTTTTGTTTGGCAGCTGTAATCTTGTACTTCCGAGGTTAATTTCCTCACTTCTGTTTGCAATAGCTGTTGTTGGCCTCTCTGTAAAGAACTATAATGAGACATTTAAGAACCAGAGATTTATTTGTTACAAAATAAGCAAACCTTTATATTTTGTGCGAATGGGAAGAACCATTGGAACCTTTTATCCCAGGATGGTTTCCAACTCAAACAGTAAATATAAATACTTCTTGCTTCAAACCAAAGTTGAAAGGAGATGTCTATATAAGGAAGGTAGCAAGAAAGGAGACCAGAATCCTACTCTGCTTTCTTTTTGCACTTACTTCTTGTTAGTCTGCAGTCCTCATGCACATACCAAGCTTCTCCCTTAGTCCTTTCCCACCAGTAGCTTAATTATGGTGTGGTTTTCTCTTTCAAAGTATGACAGCACACCAGGGATTGTCTCACTATATATATTTTCATTTCAGTTAAAATTCAGTGTCTTTTATTGGTGTTTGCTGTTTGAGGCCATGTGTTCCAGTATGAGGCAAAGGAATGTTTTGAGAAGGCCAGGAAGAGACTGGAAGAATGGAGGAACTACATAGAGATGCAATAGGGTAAAAGTCCCAGTTGTCATATGTCTCTTTCTGTGCATTTCATACACTTCCCTAACATTCCATAACTGTGATTGTCCATTGACCTTTAACTGTTAAGATTTCTTAAGTACCTTGTGACTGCACACCTCACACACAACACGGCTGGGAAGCTTGAGGACGAAGTGTACTGATCAAAGGATATCCAAATTATCAACATCAGTGTCAAGCCAATTGTCACTGTATACAAAGCATAATCTACTGTTGTCCCTTTCATCAGGACTGGAGTGATTACATAACCACAAACCCCCACAAATATAGAGTCCTCTAAAAGGGATGTATCTGAGGGAAAAAAAAAATCATTAAATGATAGTTCTCTATCTTGGAACTGATCTATCATCCAGGAGAAGGAATAGAGGGAGATGTTTTATTTGTCTCCTGTCTTAAGCATTCTCATACACTGTTCAAACATTGTGGCAGAAGGGAAAACACCTATGCCAATACTGGGCTTGCTCTTACCACTTGTCTGTCTTTCAACCCAGGAATTGATGAGCTCTCTGGCTTGATTTGCAGCTGTTTGAAAGTTGATCGTTTCCAGGCCTCCTTTATATAATTCCTTCATACATTCTAAGTATTCCTGCAGAGGAAGAGTATGCAGTTTTCAGATCAGAATGTCAAAGCATTTTGTAAACATGAAATGAGAGAGATTAATCTGAAATTAATAGATATTAATAATATCCTTATTAAGGCTAATGATTAAACCATGATTCTAGTTTATAAGCACCTTAAGATTTGACATTCATTGCTTCAAACAGGAGTACATGCTAACATTTAAAAAAGCATTTTCCAGAACTAAGTTTGATCCAAGAATAGCATTCATTTCCATTGAAGTAAGGGTGTGTTTGGTTTTTTTTTTTACTCTACCCATTTTTTTGCTTCTTATTTTGCAACTATATTTTCCTTTAATTTATTTCAAATTAAATGTTCCTTTCAATGGGAAAACTTGGAATATTTTTGAGAACCTGAAGTTATTATTCAGATTTCTTTTACAAGTTGAGAAAACTGTTGCAGCTAACTCTTCTCAGCAAAAGTTACCTTTGTCAATTGTACCTTGACATGACTGGATCATGACTGTACTTTGCATGAAAAACATCTTTTTGGCCAGGCACATTTTTTCTCAGGACTGTAGAGGGTTAGGGCTGTAACAGAAATGGTGAATCCTGCCTTCCATATGAAAGACAAATTCTTTAGCAGAATCTTGACTTCTGACAGTGCTTTTGCATTACAGAGTGATATAGTTTTGATATAGAAATATACTGAGATCAGATTTTAGAGCAACTCACCGGTAGGATTGGGTATGTCTCTTCAGCATAAATTCTACTGGCAACGCTGAGTGAATGATTGCCACTTGGTTTGGTGATTTGGGTGAACAAGTCTTTAAGTGAAAACTGGATGCTTGCAGATGCGCCACACTGAATAATTGACACAAATACAAATAAAGAGATGATGTTATTCATGTTTTAGTGCTTAGTAGGTTTTTCATATTATATGAGAAGAGTAGTTCAGACACTTCAGCTTACAAAACTGTTGTTCATCCTGTATATTTTGTTGCTATAACTACACTCATGTAGTAACTTTCTAAAATACACAACACTGTGCTGTTCCTCTACTTTAATCTCCTCACGCCTCTCTCAGGGACACTCTTAATTACTTGTTACAGTAATCTAGCTGCAGCAGACCAGGTAAGCTTTCCTCCATTCCCAACCAGTCCCATTTAAGCGGTAACATCCAGCACCATTGCTTACACATACAAATGTCTTTATTTTTCCCTATTTGCCCAATATTACGCTGGGTTTCACCTTATGTTTGTTTTGAATGCTCTGCTACCTCCATTCTCTATTCTTTGGAATGAAGAGTTCCCCCAGCTGCTGGATGCAGAAGACTAGCTGGTCATCAGAGAGGAGCTGGAACTGCTAAGAGACTGCTTTATCATCTGGATTTTGCTTTCAGAAGAAAGAGACATAGAGAAGGGGGTGGAATTATTTCTGTACCTGAGATTCAATAGACTCTCCAAATCCTGTGATTTTATCAAAGTGAGCAACCTGTAATTGAAAATAATAGTAGTTGAAAAGACAAGTATGACAAAAAAAGGTTATGCAACTGAGATTAACACATAATGTTTGAAGTGAACCTGTTGGCTGAGACACTGAATGACTCAAAAGGTACAATCCATCTGTGCCATCTGTTAATAGCTGTGAGTGCTGTTGCCTGCTTAAATGATCCCTTTTTCTATTGAACATATAGAAATCAGCACCAGTGTGTGCTATTAATAATACTTTCTTCTAGATAACATGCCAGCCACTCTCACTTCCTTAGTGAGAACTATAGGAAACTCACACATGAAACATTTTGCACTCTAGA